GGCCCCTTCACTGTTTGCGTGCCCACCGCCATGGCATCCACAGAGCCAGACCGCCGACCAGACCACCACGGCACGCTGTGCCCCCCCCGCGCCCCCGCGCAGAGCCCCGAGCGCTCCGCCGTCGCAGCCCGGAAGCCCTGGCCCTCCGCGGGGCAGCGCGGGCTGCGGCAGGCCGCCGCGGCGCCGCGGGCCCGCCCCGCGGCCGAGTGCGCCGCGGGCAGCGCCCCTCGACGGCGATCGGCGGGGCAGAGCGCGGGGGCTCGCGACCGCCACCGCCCGGGCCGCGGAGGGGCGCGGTCAGCCTCGCGTCGGAAGCATGTGCGATGTTTTTGTCTTGTTTTTGTTCTCTTGTGCGGGGGAGGGGGGGGGGGGGGGGGGTGGAGGGGGGGGGGGGAAAAAAAAAAAAAAAAAAAAAAAAAATAAAAAAAAGTGGATCGGGGAGGGAGGAAGTAGGAGGAGGGAAGACGAGGAAGAGGAGGTGGGCAAGGAGGATGATGGGGAGTGGGATGCAGTGTGGGAGAACAGGGTGAGGAAGAGGAGGAGAGAGAAGGAAGGAGGAGGAGGAAGGAGAGAGGAGGAGGAGAAGCAGGAGGAGGAGGAGCATGAGGAGGAGAGGATGAGGAGTAGAGGGCGGAGGAGCAGAGGAGCAGGAGGAGGAGGAAGGACAGAGGAGGAGAGAGGAGAGAGCAGGAGGACAGGAAGGAGCATAGCAGGAGCAGGAGGAGGAGGAGGAGGAGGAGGGACGTGATCGGCTACATCAAGAGTGACCCTTCGCTGGAGTGGCATGCGGGGCGCGACTTCCCAGGGGCCGCGGGGGGAGTCACGCCCGAGCACGCAGGCCGCTGTTGCTGCACCGCCCGCAGGGATCGACAGGCCACGCGCCCAAAGCCCCTCTTGCCTAGGGTAATTCCTGCATGTAGCCGAGAGAAGGAGAAGGTTGCTGCTCCTCCTCCTCCTCCTCCTCCTCCTCCTCCGTCCCACCTCCTCCCCCTCCTCCTCCTCCTCCTCCTCCCTCCTCCTCCTCCTCCTCCTCCCCTCCTCCTCCTCCTCCTCCTCCTCCTCCTCTTCCGCTCCTCCGCCTCCTCCTCCTCACTCCTCCTCCTCCTCAGCTCCTCACATCCTGCTCCGCGCCTGCTCCTTCTCCTCCTTCACCTCTCTTCCTGCTCCAACTCCCGCCTCCTCCTCCTCCGCCTCCTCCTCCTCCTCCTCCTCCTCAGCCTCCGCCTCCTCCTCCTCCTGCGAAGGTTCGGTCTCCACGGAACTCACGGAGGCGCCATAAGGGGGGTGGAGGAGGTCGGGGAGAGGGAAAGGGGAGGAGGAAGGGAGTGGGAGAAGGAGAATAGGACGATGAAGAATGAGGAACGAGGAGGATGATGAGGATGAGGATATGATGATGATATCGGATGCTGATAATGATAGATGAATTGATGATGATGATGATGATGATGATGATGATGATGAAGATTATGATGATGATGATGAGGATGATGCTGATTATGAGGTTGATTTGATAGCTGATGATGATGCTGATGATGATGATGGTGATGAGGATGATGATGATGTTCATGATGATGATGATGATGATGATGACCTTGATGATGCTTATGATGATGGTGAGGATGCTGATGATGATGCCTAGGACGATGATGATGATGCTGATGATGATGATGATGATGATGATGATGATGATGATGATGATGATGATGATGATGATGATGGTGATGCTGCTGATGATGATGATGATGATGGTTATGATGCTGATGGTCATGATGCTGATGGTGATGATGATGACGATGCTGCTGCTGCTGATTATGCTGGCGACGATGATGATGGTGATGCTGATGATGATGATGCTGATGATGATGATGATGATGATGATGATGATGATGATGATGATGCTGATGGTGATGGTGATGATGATGATGCTGATGGCGACGATGATGACGATTATGATGATGGTGATGATGCTCATGCTGATGGTGATGGTGATGATGATGCTGCTGATGCTGATGCTGATGCTGATGATGAGGAGGAGGAGGAGGATGAGAGGGAGGAGGGAGGAAGAGGAGGAGGAGGAGGAGGAGGAGGATGAGGAGGAGGAGGAGCAGGAGGAGCCACACGGGGAACCTTGGGTCGGTCCAACGAAAAAAAAGAAGAAAGAGAGGAGGAGGAGGAGGAGGAGGAGGATGAGGAGGAGGAGGAGAGAGAAGGAGAGGAAGGAGGAGGTAAGGAGAGCAGAGAGCAGGAGCACGCAGGAGCCAGAGCAGGAGAGGAGGATGAGAAGGAGAGGAGGAGCAGGGAGGAGGAGGAGGAGGAGGAGAGAGGAGGAGGAGGAGAGAGGAGGAGGAGGAGGAGGAGAGCAGCAGCACAGCCCACAGCACAGCAGCACGCAGCAGGAGGAGGAGAAGGAGGAGGAGGAGGAGGAGGTGAGGAGGAGGTGTGGAAGAGGAGGAGGAGGTGTGGAAGAGGAGGGGGCCTGGTCAACCTGCGCCGCGAGGAG